CCCCAAAACCCCAAAACCCCAAAACCCCATGCAAGATTAATAAGATATTAAGATGTTGAAATTGAATAAAGAAATAAATTGATTATAGATTATTGATTTGTAAAAATCATTCAAAATCTTGGAAGTTAAAATTGATCCTTTCTCTATTAAGAGTACTTATTATGATATTTATAATTCATCTTCTCTAGTTGATTCCCATAATTTTGGTTTGTTTGTCCAATATCTTTAAGCTACTTTATAAAATGATCAGAAGCAGCAAGCATTCCAGTCTCATTGACTACATTAATATTTTGGTCTTTTTCTTCGCTTATTTATGACCAATGCTTACTCTGAGAGTTTCTGACAGAGAAATTCATTTTTACTATAGGTATTTAGCTTGCATCAATAGCATCTTTTGACTAATAAATATCTGCAACTTATCCATTTAAATTGTCTTTATTTTTCTAGTTTTCCCTTGATTTTTATCTCTTAAATTTCTTGTTCAGCTTGCTCTGCTGCTGCATGATTACTAAATTATTTTATCTTCCAGACAGATCTTGACTCGAACTACCAGACACTTATCTTACAGTTCTAATATTATTTGATGACTAATTTTAACTTTGATAGGCACTAATATGATTTTCAACATCATAAGAGCCATACTATAGCTTTTATTTAGGTGATGCTCTACTTTTGATAGGTTAAGAGAGTCTTTGCTTTTAGAGTTTGCCTTTAAGCTGTTAACTAGTTTTGAGAAATACTAACTATCTTGAGTTGCCATTCTGATCATTATGGTAGGCAATATGGTGCGCATTCAAATCATCTTAAGTTTAATTATTCTAACTTAGACTCAACATTGAGCTATTAACATCTCTTGCATTTGTCATGTTAGTCGCATTGTTTCTACTTCTATTGTCTGTTGTCCTACTTTATCCATTATTTTCTCTATTAATGTGTACATTTGCAATTCTCAAATCAATTATTTTTTTATCTTTTTCATTTACTGATTACTGATGTGAATCTTTATTAATATTTTATTGGCTATAATTATAGGATTTTTAGATAGACTAATATGGGGATGAAAACTTCTTTTAAACTAGAAGGATAGTCTAGCTAAAATTTTAGAATGTCTGATTTAAACTATTCTTGCTAGATATGACATTAGCAATAATTGAAGGACCAATTGAATTTATTTTTTCTTTAACTGGTTCTACTTATTATGTATGGTTGAAAAATGATTTTTTAGTTTCTCCTAACTCATTATTAAGTGTACTATTAATATTAAATCTTCTGTGTCTTTGTCCAATGCTCTAAATAGTCTAATTCTATGAATTTAATCTCGGATTTTGACCTTGCTTTTGTTTATTTATCATAAAATTCTTAAAGCTTTGTAGGTTTTTAAAGTACATCACTCCCTATTACCTTGAAAAAGCCTCTTAATTCTGTAATTATATTTCATTTTCCCAATTAGAAGTAGTTTTTATGAAATTTTTATTCTCAATGGTGGGTGGGTTTAAGTTTTAAGCCTAAACAATCGAAAAACTTTGATCCCTATTAAATGTTGCTGATTTATTCATCACTGTAGAATTTCTATTCTAATAGCTCTTTGATAAGGTAGATTACATTTAATTTATGCTAGCTATTGAGCAGTTTTCTTTAGAAAGCTATCTCTCATTCATTTTTAAGACTCCGTTTTATAGTCCTGGTAATTAGGGTCTAGGTTTTGCAGAGGTTTTATCTTAAGTTCTTGGTCTCACAGTCCTACCTCTTAATTAAGGAGCTTAATTCCGGGCTATTTCTCTTGGTTCTAGAGTTAGTTCTATCTTTGTAAGAATACTAGGTTATTGTTACTATTATGTCAAACTTGAATTTGTTTTAGTTTGATAAATTAAATCTTGATAATAGGTATTATTTAAACCAGTACCAATCCCTCTAGTATCATCTACATGATATTAATTTGATTATATTTATTCGTTATTTGTGAACTGTGAGTTCCTTTTTGACTTTGGATCCAAAAGATTTTCTTTGGATTAGTGACTGTCCACTATCTGCGAACCTAAGTTATCATCAGTTGACTATCTAAAGAATGGATTACTTGTTGCTCCCATAACGCTTGTATTTTTTTGCGGAGTTGTAACAATGGAAATCCTATCACCTCCATTTGGAGTCTTGATCTCAATTTAAGCTCTATCTTCTGAATCTCTCTTTTAAACAGGAATATTTAATAGATTTCCGAATCTGTCTTATGTTTTCACCAGCTCCAATCAATCAAAATATTCTTAGAACTAATTTTCTTATTCCTTGGTCAAACCGATGCCAGTATTTTTTGCATCTTCCTCTTATTACTTAAGAAAATTTCTATGACTGAGATTCGTGATAGTCATTTAAAGCTCATCGATAGCCCTTCTATATTAATTGATTTCAAGATGGAAATCCCCCTTCTGCCTGATAATACCCCCTCCTGTAATGCATCTTTGCTAACTTTTAGTATTCTGCTAAAGTAGATTTTCAATAAACTCATAATTAGACTCTAATTTTTTTTCTTCATCTTCTATCTAAGCAATTAGTGATTATTTAGCAATTAATTCTTGCTCATGCTGATCAGACACCTTAAGGTTTTCTCCTATAATCCCTTGAAGATTCAAGAGATTATTAGTCTTTGTTTTATCTGTATCAAATATAGCTGAACCAGTTCCTTAAGTTGTTAATTGTATTGTTTAATTCATTTACTTTGATAATGACTTCTAATACTTTTCCTTTATTTTCTATTTTTACCTAAAGTCAATTATTGTAATCAGAAGATATTTGGTACATTTTAGAAAAATAAAATTTCTTTTGAAGAGGCAAGAAGCTACTGTAATTGCTAGATACCTATTCATTTTCAGTTGATAATTTACTTTATGTTACTGTTTTCATTTTATTTAGATAATCTTTTTATAAATCCTTATTATCAGTTTAGAAATCATTTTAGTGGGGTTTTGGGGTTTTGGGG